TGTCTCTATATCTACAAGTTGAACCTCTGCCACGTAAAGCCATACATCAACAACTCCCAGGAACGCTACCGGCCTCTCCAGACCAGAGGTCATTTCACATGGACTGGCCAAAGAGGAAGAGTGTCCTGTAGTCTGACGAGTCCAGGCCAAAGACGGACAGATCTCTCTGGACTGTTATCAGCGCAAAGTTCCAGCATCTGTGATTCCAACTCCTGACTTGCCATGTTTTTCAGAGTCGTCCCTCCTGATTCCAGCAAGACGATGCCAAGACACGATCTCCACGTGCCGCCACAGCGTGGAGGTCAGTACTAAACCTGTCTCCCATTGAAAATGTGTGGCGCACTGCGAAGAGCAAAACACAAGGGAGATCCTGTTGAGTAACTGAAGTTGCACGTCAATCAAGAATGGGAAAATAATTCCACCTACAAAGTTTCTGAGTGTCCTCAGTTCTTAGACACTCATTGGGTGTTGAAAGGTGGTGGAACAGAGGTAAACGTGATCCTGTCCCAACGTTTTTGGAACTTACTGCAAGCATCAAATTCCAAATGAATGAATGTTTGCAAATACTAAAGAAAATGATCCATCTGAACATTAAATATCAGCTGCATTTCCACTGAACACATAATAGTGCAAAGTCGCATTTTGAAAGTAAATATGCCAATTTTGAAAAAAAAAAACAACTCGTTTTTTGAACTGGTTTTAGTTTTTTTGGAAAGAAAAATAATTTTATAGCCATGTCAGTATTGGCTTATTACACAAAACCCATTTTCTCATGAGTCACAACTGGATGTTGCCACTGCCACAAAGTCAAAGATAATCATGAAAGATTGCGGCGCAGCATTTTTTTTAAAAGACATATCGTGTTAAAAGATTTAAACAGGTGTGATTTTTGATCAAATTTTTTATTCAAGTTAAACACCGCTATTGCAAAATTGAGTTTTTTTTTTCAACATTGGTGGAATATTAAAGTTCTGCACACATTTGTAATGGAAATGCAGCGACTCGGATCAGAACTGGACAGCAGCTACGATGTGTGAAGTATCCTCAGTCTGCCCTGCAGGACCAAAACCTTTTATTTTTGAGGTTCTCTTTATGAAGCTGACACAACGTCCATGACGGCGTTTTGTGTCTCTGTCAATATAAGTTTAAAGGGTCACAAAACATCAAAATGTTCAAATGGAAATATTTTGAAAATCTTTTTCTCCCTCTTGGCAAGATATTCAGGTCTGCTCGAAAGAACTGCAAGCCGAGTACTTCTCTGTCTGTGTCAGTTTGAGTCTGAGCGAGAGATCTAAGATGCCTCAAAGGAAGCAAATGACGATGGGTGAGACAGATGATGTAACAATGAAGACACAGACTTGGCTGCCTTAGGTTAACATGAGAGGGAAGATGGACCTGGTCTCTCCACACATTGGGCTCTCTAAGGCGGCACAGAGACAGGACACGGTGAGTCGATATCTTTGTGACCACGATGCATTCAGTTGGTCCAGGCATGCTAACTATAATGGTGAAGATGGGTTAGAGCTCACAAACGTGCACTGACACTCTGCAATACACTCACAGCGCTGCTGCTGCTGCTGCCTGTCACCGTTATCATCTCTACTGTAAATGTCACAACTGAACCTCCAAGTAAATGTATGTATTTGCTGAAGTCAGAGGCGCAGCAGATGAGCGGATGGTGGCTTTTGACTTGGCTGAATTATGAGCCATCTTGACTGGATATGGCGAAAACAGTTTTCACATCACAAAGTCGCTTAAATAAATGATTGAAATGTAATCTGCAATGCACAATGTAGAAGGCAAATTTGTATGCTTACGTGAATATTGCAGCTGACTGCAAAATTTAAGTGTTTACCTATAAACTTTTATATTAAAGTTTATAGATATTTTTTATCTTAACATCTAACTTTCTGTCAACTGCTTCTTTGTGCGACATTTGGAGTACCTGGTTGTGTGTGTAAATAAATATGCTGTACATATACATTCAAATTAAATTAAAAGCTGTCTATGGAAGAGTAAGCCCTGTGGTCTGGAAGAGGCAACTATGTAAAGATTTACTCACGAGTAAGTAAAGTAGTGAGCAAAGAAAGACCTGGATGTGGGTCACAGAAAGAAGCTCTTTAGAAAAGGAGACGGGTTAAGGAAGGCGATTTTATTTGTGCTCTTTTTCATTTTTCAACAAGAAAATAAAGCCTCCGAGAGATCCTGCGGCAGAGCATGTTCTCCCTCTTCAGGATTTCTCTCGCCTTCTCTCTCCTGAGTCGTTCCCAAGAAGAATATAACGCAAGCTTTCACTGAGGTTCCCCCACTGCCCTGCGCGTCAATAACGCGTCAGTCCATATCCACAGCCGAGAAATTGTTGTTTCAAACAGTTTGCAGTTGCACGTCGATGTCCAAAGGTCAGCAGCACTGATCGGGGTCGCCGTTGCCCGGTTGCCTGAACCACCTCCTCCTTCTCATCGGCGTCTCGTCGGCGCACGACAAATCCAAGCTGTTCATAAACACGATGGAAAAAAAAAAAAAAAAAAAAAAAAACCTCTTCAAACAAAAACAGCAGTTTAGTATATTGCTACATTTATACAACCGATACGCGAAGAATGCTCAAGTAAGGCTAAAGATTCAAGCGACTAAAAAAGTACAGCCTGGACCGTATGTAGTAGTTTTTTTTTTTAATATATATTATTATTATTTTATTTTACAAGCAATGTGAAAGTTAGAAACACAAACAGAAAGTCAAATGTTTTAAGGCTGTTTGTTGTCATTCGGTTAAAACCAGAATTTGGGGCTTTTGGCACAGAAGCAACTGCAGCTCAACAGTTTTAAGACTCAGACTGAGAAACCATTTCATCGCTGCTCCTGCATAAAAACAAACAATGAAAAAAACAACAACTTTTGAATCCCATTTCGTTTTTGTGCAGTCCTATAAACGGGGAATTTTATTAACCAATGAATGGAACCAGTGGTGGGCGGAGCTAATTTTTGGTTTAACGCTTTTGCTAACTTTAAAAATCTTTAGTGCATTTAGGACAGAACAAAACAATATGTAAGGCATTGTGGAACATGTGAATTACCATTCCAAAATTGATCTACCTTTTCAGGGCACATATGTGAATATCTTTAGCGTTTAAACTTGCTTTCAACAAATCTATATAGAATCCTTCACATTTCTTCCAATTAGAAAATCTAGAAGTCTTGATTTTTGTTGCAGCTGTTTGCAGGTGAAGATATATTTGCAGCAAATATCATAAATTAACATACATAAACATTCTGTATCGCTAAGTGAAATACTTTCCTTTTCAAATAGAGCAGCCCCGTTTGTTTACGTCATTTTCAAGAAAAGTTTTCCACATCCTTCCAGAATATTCATGCATAACGATGCCATCTATGCTCTGTATGTTGATTCTGTACCCACAATGCATTGCTGTTGTAGAAGTGTAACTTGATATGGTTTAAGTTAACGCTTCAGCTTTTGCTAAACTCTGTGTTGGTTGAACGTTTTACTGTTCGTAGAACCATCGTTTAGCCGCATGGTTTGTAGCTGCTGGTGCCCACCACTGGTTTCAACCAGGAATAATTACTTGAGCATTCTGGCCACATTACAGCAGAGAATATTTTTGCACTGTTTCTAAAACAACAAAAACATGATTGTTCCCCTGTTTTTCAGGGTTAGAGTCATTTTGTACCTCAAACCAGAAAGCATTGCAAAGATGGCCCACTGTGAATGTGTTTTAATTTGAATTTGTACTATATATTACAATCAGTCATGTGAATTCAGGCTTGTTTAATGTGAAATCTGTTCAATGTGATTTCATTTTTGACTCCATCCCTGGTTTAATGTCTTTTAAAACCTTTTATACTGAAGGGATGTAGTTGGGGAATTTTGTTTCAAAGTGGATTCTGTGGAGTTTTGCTCAGTAGTCAGTATCTTATCTGCAGTTAATGTGCTGCGAGAATTGAATGGTAAATGAGTCGGTGCATCCACACCTTACATTACCAGTTGTAATGGAATGTATAAAACAGCACAATTGCACTCTAGAATGACAAATCCCTGTCAGGGAACCTGGTGAGTCTGGGTTTTCTGATTGCACTGTAGATTTAAGGGGCATCAGGGCTTGGTTTGGGTCCTTAAAGTGTAAAAATATCTTAATTCCTTAAGAAGCACGTAGGGAATTAAGTGCTTTATTTGGGTGACGTTGACTCTTTCAACCATGTAAGGACACCTCTTCCAATTCTAACCAGAGCAAGGTCAGATAACAAAAAAAAAATATTGTTTTTTATGCATTTGTGGAAGCTGACACTATGTTATGAACTTCTCTGCCTTCTCATAACAACCAATCAGAGCCAGGAGGCGGGTATTAGCGCTGTCAATCACTATCTCGAGATGGTGCTCAATTCCTCCCTCCCCTCCTTGCTCTCTACTATACTGAGACTGTAGTGCATGCTAAGGCTAGTTAGCATAGCCTCCATTATGGTGGGTAAATGGTTTTTCTGTGACTGTAATTTGTTTCTCTGCCATTAACACATTTAGCAGCGTGCACACAAAGTGACTGACAGCACTAAGACCCTCCTCCTGCCTCTGATTGGCTGTTTATGGTGGGGAGTGGCGAAGATCGGCTCTGCCAACACGAACTGCCCCGTTGTTTTAGTTGTGTGTTGCTGTGGGAGGTTAACAATGACAAGATAGAAAACAATAACCTTTTGAAGGCTATGAGCGCTTTCTGTTGCAAGGTAAGATTGTGGCTACTGACCTCAGCTCCACAGAAGCCCACTTCCAAACACTCTGAACCGTATCGCTTAATCGTGCAGATAATTTAGATGCAGAGAGCATCCCCTCTTCTTACCACATTTAATCAAAATTTAACGTTTTTACAAAAAAAAAAAAAAAAAAAAAATATATATATATATATATATATATATATATATATATATATATATATATATATATATATATATATATATATATATATATATAAAAACAAAACCTTGCTCTAATAAAAAACTCTTCCATCTGTAACTTAATTTGAACAATGGCAATAATTTCTCAGTAGTATCCCGTTCTGAACCTCGTTCAGTCGTTCGTAAACGGAGCCGGTTAGATTTTTGCTTGTACGCTTTAATCCAGCTACAGAAGAGAAATAGCATCTCAAAGAATACATTCTTCTGCTTGTTTCTATGAGCATGAGGGTGTGCGCTGATGATGTTTTTTACTGTTACGTGTGATGTTGGACTGAGTCCTGGTTAGAAGAACCTAAGAGTCAATTATCTACCACAGTACTTTGGTCATAAAAATGATTTTGAGGGTGGCGGGGATTCAGCGAGCCAATGACGGTGGATCATTTTGTGCAAATTGTTGTTCACTTTAGCCATGTGAAGCAGGAGAGGTCTGTATTTAGCGGTAGGCTATTCGAGATAAGTTTTAAATACCTGTGATTTCTCAAGTTTGGCACTATGGCACCACAGTGGAACCAGAAGAGTCCAAAATAAAAATACAAAATAATAATAATAATAAAAACTCGAGATTCAAATGAAAAGTTTATAAAGCACAGTGGAGCTACAGTGTGTCGGGAAAGAAGCGGAGAGGTTTGGGTCTTTCAATCGCGGTCGTTTTCTGATTTTGAACAGTGCAGTTTGGGAATCTGAAGACATTCATTAGAGGATTCAAATTTTCCGAGTTCGGGTTCAAAATCAGAAACGCACCGGTGCGGGTGAGCGGGCGGGTCAGCTAAGTTTGGGACTTAGTTTCTGAAAAGTCTGAAGGGATTTCAAAGCCATGTTGTAGAAACAAAACAGTCACTTTTGTTGCAAATATAGAACTTTTCTCTCTGCTGTACAGCGTTCTCTTTTCAGGATGACAAAGAGCACATGTAGTAGAAGTTCACCAACAGAAAAGGCTGGCTTGTGTTTTTATTTTTTTGTTTTGTTTTTTTTGGCTCAGAGGACAGAGCATGTTCCTCTAAGGTAGAAAAGGAGGACACGAACGTCTCTTCTGTCGTGTTGGTTTGTTTTTAAGCACTCCTCGGCTCCGAGTTTCAAAACAGTCCAAAAACACGGTTACACAACATCGCCATGCCGTATTCAAATGATAAAATATTGATGCTGAGGATCGAAGGGATAATATGAAGACTAGTAATGAGAATAAGAATAATGAATAATAACAACATATTATAATATATTCTTTTACCCTATTTTTTTTGATTCCTCTATATAAAAACAGTGGTGAGAAGAAGTTAATACACAGTAGGGCTCTACTACCCCATCGGCTGATTTGGCACATTATACTCACTCTCTCATAAGAGCTACCTACTCAGCTTCAGCACATTGAAATATTACTGCTGATTGGCCACCCATCCAGAACCATGTCATCTGATGTTTTGAATCTCCCAAACTCTGGCTGGACTGCAGCTGTGGTCACGTGTTTGCATGCGCCTGTCATCGTCGTCGTCGTCGTAACAATTTGTGAGATTCACTTTTCAAGGGTGGAATTTGTGAGATTTTCAAGGGTGGAATGATGACGTGACTTACAGCTGCAGTGGTTTCACTGGGACGGTGTGACCTGTGAGGAGGTCAGTCCCACATTTCTGTATTGAAAATCTAATTTTTGAACATTATTTTCAGTCTTTCCAAGCGGTGTCATTTTGTCCAGGCCTGTTTCATTGTTTGCTGTTTTGTTTTTTTGTTTTTTTAAGCGATTCTGTTGAACCAGATTTTAAAAGCCATGTCTTATTTTCATTGGTCAGATTTGAGTAATTTATCAGATAAATTTCTTTTGTCAGCTTCAGGTTATTCCAGTAACCATTTGAGGTTTTTTCTGTCTTTAGCAGGGAGTTACCAACAATTTAGTCCAGGTGTGAAAATAGACTTTTCAGTAATATTTTAGTTAATGACTGTCCATTGATTTTGATCTTTTGATAAACAATGCTAGTTTCTGAACTGCTGTGGATTTTATTAGTTCAAGCGGCCACCAGTCTGCTAAGGTCAGGTTGAGAGACCCAAACTGTCCTTAGACGAGATGAAAACAGCTTCCATGTTCAGGAACAAACACAAAACCACCAAAAAACAAGCCTGACAAATAAGTCCATTCAGTTTATAAGGACTTATATCTGTTTTCAGTGCAGAAAATAGTGGTTGTCTAAAATAGGCTTAGAAATAATAGAGTCCTATTTGTATGTAAGGCATCATATTTTAAAATACTTCCTTCTACATTCTTCTTCTTATTAATGACTCTTGTTTCTCACTTTTGCCAGTTTACTGTTTTCAGCTCCTAAAAGGTCCGAAGAATGATCTTTTATGTACACTGATGTTCATATGTTTTACCTTTTCTTAGAAAAATATGAAGTTATTTCTGACAAAAACCCAAAATTGAAATCTTAAACTTTTGACATATCACATTGGAAATAAACAAGAGCAAAATGGAGAATGTGCTAAACGCTTTTCTGCAATGGTGAAAAGATTTTGAAATTTTTAACTTTTCTTTGGCTTTTCACTCTGTTATGCCGCCGTTTTAGTCGTATCGATTTTGTGTTTCTCATATTGTTATAACCGTTCTCAGCTTTACGACGCGGATGAGCCGGCCTCTCTTGAAATTAGTTTCTCAGCAGCCCTTCAATGACAAATTGCTTGTGCAGATGACAAAAAGCTGAAGCTATGATGTCACGCTGACAGTAGGGATGTTTTGAAAAGTTAAGTAGAGCATTTCAAACATAAAAATACTGTAGCATCTGTCAACCATGGCAGAGGCAGTGCTGTGCCATTGAGCTCTTTTTTTTTTTTTGCTATTCAGTAGCAATAACTGCTAGATCACACAAGGCGGGTGGTATGATAAATGAGGAAGACATCCTCAAAATGTTTCAGCTTTTCCCCAGATTGACACTAAAATGGTTGAAAAACAGAGTAAAAATAAAGTGACCGGCTGCCAATTAAATTTGGCTATAAATGTCTGATTACTTGTGTAATCATTCCACCCTGAAAAAGAAAAGACCAAATGAGTAATTAGAAGCCTGGGGTTATTTTTTTATGAGCGTATGAAAACCTCTGAATAACATTTTGAATGGTTGTTTGGCTTTAGGAGAGTAATAATTGTGGCTCTGTTGGGTTTGAGTCTGTTGGGAGGATCCAAAGCATCACTGGGTTGTTCAAAATGGGTTTTCCTACCACATTTAGGGTTTTTCTACTCTTAATGTTGATTCTACATTTCTTCTTTCAAAACTTACAAATAGCTACATAAGTTTGAGCTATAATTTCCATTACATTACAAAAAAGTGTCTCAGTCTCAATAATTTATTCATGTTTTTGTTCAGGATAATAAGTATATTAGCTTGGTCCTCATCCGTTTCAGGAGGAAAAGGCTTAGTTTGTGTAAAATGTGTGCATGTGAGTTTTGTGTCTCGCCGTGTGTGTGCGTGTGTAAACATGTATGTGCAAAGTGATTTTTTGTAAATCCCATAAGCTGTTTGTGTATATTTACAAGTCTTTGATGAAAATATCCACATATTTGTATCAGTGTGTTATGGATGCAGGGTGTTACACTGAGTTCAAGGTGTTTGGCAACTTCACATATGGGATCAAGCTTTCTGCTGGGCAGATACACCCTTCCAGTAGTCAAGTATGTCATGAAGATCTTCATCCTTGGCAAACTGAACCTTCCGTCTCAGTGCATGCCCAGCTGCCACATATCCTTCGTCCTCTAAGGATGCCTGCCGATGCCTTTTACGGTGCATTTTGAACCTCTCCCAAAGCCCTAGGGTTGGGGTGCATAGGAGCCCTTCCTCCTCTTCGTCTTCCTCAGGACTGGAGCAGTAGCTGAGGTTGTGGTATTGGGGTGAGAGTGGGTAATTTTGTGACAGCTGGGAGTAGGCTAACTCCCGCTGCTTTGCTTGCCTGCTGAGAGTGATGGGATCCAACACAGAAGGCTTGCGACCTCCTGGGTGGTGGTGAAGCTCCTGAAAGACTTGCGGATGATGCTGAAGTTCCTGGAGATGCTGTTGCGATCCTGGGTAGGAGTGGCGGTGTTCGTTGTACTGACGGATCCTCTGGGCCTCGGCCCGTAGGATGGCTGCAGCTGGGTTGACGGTGCGGATGGCGTCTCCTCCCCTTTCCCCGGGTGAGGCTCTTTCGATGTAGCGGGACTCTGACGAGTGGTACCCTCCTTCGGAGCGGAAGGAGCGAGGGCTCCGGGCGGAGCCAGGAGAAGAGGAGGTGCTTGGCCGTTTGGTTGTCGGAGGAGCTTCCATGCTGTGATGTCGTTGTAAAGATGGATGATAACTCCTCGACCGTTCTTCTCTTCCTCCTCTTCCACCCTTGTAGACCGGTGAGAGAAACTCGCCTCCTCTCTCTCCTTGTTCGGACAGAAGTACCAGTTGTGGCTCCTCCGTCGAAACAGCTCCTCCACCCGCTGTGGGGGACTTTATTCCCTGCTGAAAGGATGTGGACTCAGATTTGAGAGCATCTATGCAGTTGTTAATGATCTGGTTAACTTTGTCAACTTCTTTAGCAATGGTGGAGATCTCAGCTACTGAGCCCTGGGAGTTGGCTTGTGGTGACATCTCCCTTTCTCTCTCTCGCTCTCGTTCCTTTTCGATGCCAGAGCCTCTGACCTCCATGTAGTTCAGCTTGGCAGACTTGTGTCCTGGAGTCTCTATCACCTCCTGAAGCTTGTACGGATCAATCTCGCCTCCCTGGGGAAGGTAGGGCATTCTGGACAGGCTTTCGCCCACAGCAAGCTTTTGTGAGACAGATCCTCCACTCCCTCCCTCTATGTCCCCTTCCCCGCCGTACTTCAACTCAATCAACGTCCTCTGGATTCTGCTCATCTTTCTCTCCTTCTCCTCCATGATCCTCTTTTTCCTCAGGCAGTGCACGACGAGGCCGAGGAAGAGCAGCATGCCAAACAGACAGCCCAATATAGTCATGATGTAATGCGTGGCGGACGACTGATTGCGAATCCTCTCTGCACCGGCTCTTCGACCGGTAGAGAAGGTCAAACATGTGTGGTTGAACCTCAGGGAGTATCTTGTAGAAGCCACACAGTAAGTGTAGTCCGTATTAGGTGTCAAGTTCTTCAGCTCAATATCCTCACTGTTTTTATTCAGAGTTTTGATTTCAGTAAAGAAGCTGTTATTGTACAGAATCAGTATGTACAATTTCTTAAACAGATAAGGAATCTGAACTGTTATCACTGCACTTGAATGTTCCACTTTTTTTATTGTCATGATAGGCTTGGAGTCTATCAAGTTAGGGCTGTTGCTTATCACTTCTTCGGGAGCCGTCCCGGAGGCACAATCATCCAGTCCGCAGGGCGAGGCGATGTCTGGCAGCTGGGTGGTGGAGTCAAAGATGTAGAAGGGTGTCACGCTGCTGCCATCGTCTGTGCACACCAGATTAAGCACGTGCAGGGCATTGCGCTGGGCTGGCATGCGAGGGTTCTGGCTCAGGAGGTTGTAGCCGGAGAATCCTTGAGGGGAGTCGCACACCATCCGCTCGCTGGTTCTGTTGGGGAAGACGGCAAGCCAGCGCAGGAAGCCCAGCAGCTCACATGAGCAGTTGAAGGGATTGGTGTAGAGTTCACAGGTCGTCAGCTTGGAGAGTCCGGAGAACAAACTGCCATCCAGAACCTGGATCCTGAATTTGGACACAGAGAAAGATAGAGACTTACAGATACACTCATGCAGTTGAACTTGGTTCTGCACATCTCTCCCCAAAGTCTTCTCTCATCTTGTTCTGATGATCATTTACTATTTAATGAATCAAATTTTGTCTCATCTTTTGACCTTTATCAATCGTTATGCCGCTATTCCTGTTCAGGTGAGAACAGAGATTATTAAGTATTGTGTTTATGGTCCTGTGTTGGAAAATAGAACTTGATATTTACGTTTTGTCTGTGAAGCTATCAGGTGAACGATATAGTTTCAATCCAAACTCGTGAAACTATATGAGTGCTTAAATTAAAAATAATAGTAGCCATAAAGCTTCTCTTCCCGCTGCCCCTCCGCTCTGCAATGTACTTTGTTGTGCAGCTGCACCGTTCTTTCTTTCACCAGTTTGTAATACACACACAAAGCTGCACACAGTACCTGTTCATGGAGAGATCTATATTCTCCAAATTGGGACACTCCCAGAAGGTGTTGGTTGTAACAGTCTCGATGAGATTAGCTTGCAAGTAGAGATACTGCAGCTTGCCCAGGCCCCGCAGCATCCCCTCTGTCAGGTTTCTCAATTTGTTAAAGCCCATCTGGAGAACCTGGGGAGACAAAGACAAGTGGGATTATCCTAATCTCTGAAGAGCCCGACAGTGCCAGGCGTTGCTCACTACAAGCTGCAAACATACAGAACTAACAGCTGACGGTTCAGAACAGCTACTTTTTCACATGGTGATCTAAGCCTCTGTGCTGCGAATGAATTTTTGCCCAGATCTGTCTTGTTCGCGTTTTAGCTCCTGGCGCCGCTCCAGCAGCTCGGGTGTATTGCATGGAGACTCATTATTGAAAAGCATAAATGAGTGGATGTTTTCAACATCGTATCGGTTTCCATTTGCATATGTGAAGCGGGAGGGGAGTTTTCATCCTTCATTTGAATGAAGGCAAAGCATCACACGGAAAACGTCATTGATTACTGTGAGAACTCAATCTCACATAAATGTCAAAAAATAAATGCATTTTTCAGAGTCAAAATATTCAGCAAGTCTTTTTATTTCTTTTTATTTCTAGATCACTTATTTTCTGGAATTAGACTTGATTAAACACTTTTTGTGTTTTTCTAGGTTTGTGATTGAACTTATCTAAAAAATGAAAAGTTAGAATTTTTACAACAGTGTTTCATTGTCACCTTATTATTTAGGATCAGCCATTGAAGCTGCAGAATGTAACTTTCATAAAAAAAAATATTATTCACGTACATGTTAAAACTGTCACTATATCATCACAGTATCAAATGAGAAATAATCTGTGAAAAAATGGAGCTCCCCTGTCTCTTCCCTGTGTCGTCTAAAGAAAAGTACCGCTGTTGGTCAGGAACAGCCAATCAGAGCCAGGAGGAGGGTATGAGCAGTGTGAATCACCCTCATGTTCATGCTGCTCAATGTGCTAATGGCAAAGAAACAATTTACGGCTTCAGAAAAACTGTTTATCCTTGGTTATTGGTAGCCACGCTAACTAGTCTCAATTTCCCCACAAATTTTGTTGTGGGGAAGTTTCTCCAAAATAGCAGAGAGCAAAGGAGGAAGGTGTGAGCAGCGCATACACAAACTGATTGGCAGAGGCCATTGCTGACCCTCCCCCTGGCAGAGCCCATTGCTGACCTCTCAGTCTGAAACAACTTGTTCAAATCTCACCGAGTTGGAGCTATTTCACAGAAAAAGGCCGTTTTGGGTCTCTAGATGTTAGAACATGCATTCTCTGGATAAAAGATGGAAACCGTCGTGGGCCTACAGACACGTGTCCACCTGTTCACTATCGCAGCTCACCTGCAGGTTAAACTGTGCCGAGAACGCTCCATCTTCCACATAGCTGATGTCATTCTTGGTGAGGTTCAGGTAGGTGAGGTTTCCGAAGCGACTGAGCGAGGAATAATGCACCGACCTTATCTTGTTCTCATTCAGCCTCAGATCCACGATCGTGCTGTGGATGTAGTAGACATTTAACCAGAACAGAAACTTTAAAAATCAATTACAAAGAAGCTGTTAAGCCTTTGTGGGTGTTGTTTTATCTTTTCATACCTGTTTATGTGGGGGGGGATGGCCTCGTAAGGCGGCTGGTTCATACTGCAGATGGCCAGCCACACAAAGCCTTTCTCCCCTTCGATAAGCCAGCAGTCCGCCGTTACAGCCGGCAGTCGGAGCAGCGACAGCAGAGCGAGCCAGCAGATGAAGGAACCGGTTGTGGATACGATTCCTGCCTTGCCATGTCTCAGCTGTCCTGTTCTCTGGGCCATTTGGGGTGTCATTACAATGTCCAACACAGGAATCTGACCAGAGATCCCTGCCATTTAACATTTATTGTGGCCTTCAATCATTAGAAAACTTTAAATGACTAATGATCATTTAAAGATCTCGGATTATTAAATGACTGATTCGAGTAAGAATGAGCGAATCACTCGGAGATGGCACTTTACTGGCAGTAAGCAAACAGCATCTATCGTCTAGATAAAGTCCACATGTACTATTTCCGGTGGAAATCGGCCAGCTGAGTTTGTCCTGCTGCTGGATGGGTTTTCATGTCTCCTGAGGCCATCTCTTAATCGACCGGTTCCTCTTCTCATTCTTCCTCAGCGCTCGTCGGTCTTCCCTTGGCACCAGAACCCGTCTCTGGTGAGAAGAACAAACAGAGACGAGGGTGTTAGTCGAGGGCCTTTCATCAAGCGGACGCGTATGTCCGTGAGACGCGGCGATCTTAACCCTGTTTCCGACACAATGAGACGAGGAGGGAATTGAGCTGATATATGCAGCCGCAGATGTGCAGCGTTGAGTTCTTACACTCAGAAGACATCGCGAGTACAAATCACACCTGTGTGTTTTTTTTTTCTCTTCTTTTTAGCAGATTCTTTTCCTCCATGAGCCTCGGGGCTACATTATTTGGCCCACATTAATTTATGTGGGCCAAATAAAACACTCTAAGAGAGAGAAACGAAAAAGAAAAGGGAAGCTGATGTATGATGGTGAGGAGAGGGAAAGAGATGAATGCAGCAGCAGGCATGAGAGAAGGAAGCTGGCAAGAAAGAAAAGAAGCAGCATTCCTGTTTGACAAAAGCTAATTCTGGAAAGAAACCAGGATAAAGTATTTTTTGAGTGTTTGAGAAATCTGTTTGGGGGGGAGAGGCAGAGACCAAACAGGAAGTGACATTGAATAGATTAAGGAAGTCCTTGACAAAAGCCCAATCTTTTTACCAATATGCTGACAGCCTATTTGAAGTTTTGAAGTTCCTCTTGCTTTTTGTAGCATTTTCAGTTTTACTTCCCAGGCTTAGTGCAGGAACCACTGCCAGCTTCTCGCACACAGCAGGCGAACTCACAGTGGCGCAAGAAACGGCCTTGCTGTAGACCGAGGGCTGAAGCTTCGGCAAACAAAGCGTGGAGAACACAAATCACCGGGGTGCAGGAACGCTGCAGAGCTGGAAGGGACACGAGGGATGCAGAGACGGCTGATTCCTGCAGGCGCAGAGGAGGGAGCTGGAGTGCAGGCCAGCTGGGGGAAATGTGCACCTGCCCTCCTTTTGTAACATATACACATAACAGCTAACATGATGCACACAGAAAGAAATGTGAGGAGGCTGTCAGCCTTTTTTCCATTTTGCATCGTTCGCTGGGTTCCCCGCCTCGGCATTGGGAGAACGGCTCTGTGGGACATGCCAGCGTTTGAAATCGTGACCAGCTTGCTTCACACTTAAAATTTATGAGGTACAAGATGACTTAGGATGAGAACCTTGATGTGACCTTTCCGTCGCTCTGCTGAAAGAAGGACTGCTGCGATTAAAGTGACGAACCTCATGCCAATGCAGAGGAACCCTTTGAAATTCACACTCCAGATCAAATACATTTTTTAAAATCATAGATATCATATCTATGATAATGAACAAATATTAGGAATTGAGCGTGCAAATTTTTATTTGTCAAAAAAAAAATTGGCTTGTTATAATTGATTTGTAAAATCAACAAATGCCATAGAACCAACAACCAAGAAAACCAAGAACGAACAAAAAAAATGATGTTTTCATGTTCCATATAGTGTGATAAATCCTTACAACACACACACACACACACACACACACACACACACACACACACACACACACACACACACACACACACACACAAGCGTACATACACAACATATTCTTACAGCACATTGCACCTTCTCTTTCTTGCGTATGACTGATGAGGAGCATTTGTAGACATGTTTCCTCCAGGGCAGGTTGTGAGTGAGGCAGAAATATGAGCACATTAATAACAGACACACTCGTATATGTATACACAGACAGCCATGCAAACACAGGCAAAAGAGAAACATCCTGCAGCTCTTCATTTCAGAGTGTAGTGGCACGTCACACATTTAAACAGGTTCTCTCATTACTATTCAGAACCAGAGTAGCAGCAGCAGCAGCAAAAGCAGCAGATTGGCTAAAAGTCATCAAGAACAAAAACGATGACGTATTCGAGGAGGGAAGGCAGATGCACTTGCAGAACAGCAAGACTCTATACATACTGTAATTAACTCATTTACACTTTGAAGAAGCCATAAACAACCAATGAGAGCCAGGAGGCTGTCAGTCAACCTCGTGAACGCGCTGCCCATTCTTCAGACTGGAGAACGGATGAACATTGTGATGAGGTCTCACATTGTGCGACCTCTCACAATGTGAGAGCGAACTCTGTTCCTGAGGTGAACGATCAGGAACAGAAGGAGCTTCTTAAAGAGACAGAAACCTAATTTCAAAGCATCAAACCAGGAAGTCAAATTTCTTTTACGTTTGACATACACATTTGATCAATATATGTATTTGATCAACATAGTTGATTGTGCCACAATGTGCTATGGAATGCACTCGGTCCTTTAAGGGTGCATTCACACCAGCTCTGTTTAGTCTGCTTAAGTTGAACTCTAGTTCGCTTGACTAGAAGGTCCGGTTTGTTTGGGAACGTATGAATGCACAAACACTGATGTGGAGCAAAAAGTGAACTCTGTGAAAAGTGAAAACCTCAGTCTTGGTTCGGTTGAATTGAATGGTTGGAATGCATATGAGAACAGCATGTGGACCAGAGACCACTCCAAAAGCATGAAGTGGACTACAGTAAAGGGGATTCTGGATCAATAGAACTAATGGAAAATGTTTGTGATAATTTTACCAAAGGCAAAAGAAAAATCCTAAAACCACTTAAATCTGACGCTACTCCATTTTCATTTACATTTTGTGAAGAAGGAAGTTGAGCTCAGAGTCGTTTTATGAGGTTTTTATGTTGTTTCCTTCAGTAGTTCATGGTGCAGCGCCACCCATAGGCGAGGGTGGGAAACAGGTTTTTCAATTAATTTGCATCGTTTGACACAACTCAGTGTAAAACACATTGGCTGAAAATGCAGTAAATGTTCACTGTTTGGTCCCTGAACTGAATCTACCAGAGTACCTGGTGTGGAAACAATAAACATCCCCAACTTTTTGTGAATAGTGCATTGTGCATTCTGAGAATCACATATTGAACCATGCCAACAATATACCGGTTCTTGGCAATACACTTCTTTTTTAAAATGTGAATGACTAGAATATATTGAAATACAGCATTACTAAACAAGCATAATAAACCAAGTTCTCCGCAGGATTCAGCATTTTCATGCCTTCTTTCTGTTATCAAATTGTTCACCTAAAACTTCACTGCAGTCATTTTCTTCTTCTCAGCAATGGAAAAAAAAAAAAAAAAAAAAGCCTTGATGTTGATGTGCCAGAAATCAAAAATCACCCAGCACCTTGAAGTGATCAGTGACAGAGTGTTTGTGACGAGCAGAGACGCCATAAAAAGCCCCACAAACACTAAAGGAAGCGACAGGAGCAAATATCTTAATGCTCATCTTTTCAGATCGATTCATCCGCGGCTTCAAGTGTTGCTTCGCTGTCTCAAGCTGTAAGCAAAGAGTCAACAAAGCCATGCATCTGACTATACAAGCTTAACCTTTCAGCCAGGTCATATTTTATTCAAGAAGCGGTCAGGCAGGGAAGCAATGGGTTGTTCTTAATGCTCAGGCTATTTGAGTCTCCCTAGTTTAAATGTAAAGCGAGCTATTCGTACAATTTTAAAAGGAAAATGAAACAGTTTCTCCTTCAGTAGTTTTTTTGTTGTTGTTGTAGAGAAGTAAAAAAAAAAGTCACATACCCCGAGTCCACAGTTAGGAGTTAATTTCCATCACACAACTTTTCCGTCACTTTTCTAAGCTGCTTGAAACACCATGTTTGAAGTCCAGGCTTTTACTCCGTCACCATGAAATGCATTTGCATAATGTACTTAGTGGCGAGGTCTGACACATCTCAAACAAAGTTTTGCCTTGTTTTCCCTCATGAAACAGGAACTCCACCTGAGCCGGGTGGGCACCTCGCGGATGAGCTGAGATCAATTGATCCAGCGATGACATCAGTTTGGATTGGTTTTGGTAACCAAAGCAATAGCATAAAATGCAGTCCTGTGAAATTCATTCTACTCTCAAAAAGTGTTTAATGTTTCCATATATTCCACTTTTCCTATTTTTGTTTTTCTATTTTTACTTTTCCTCCTCAGGTCTTCTGGTTCTGGTTCTGCTCTGCAGCCCCAGGACCAAATGCAGAGAAGCAGCTTTCAGCTTCTATGCGCCACAAATCTGGAACAAATGTCTAGAAAACTGCAAAACAGCTGAAAGACAGATGGTGTGACCTGTGAGGAAGTCAGTCCCACATTTCTGTATTGAAAATCTCATTTTTGAACATTAGATTTTCAATACAGAAAATTAGGTAAAACCCCCCATCTATAGAGAGTGACTTTTGACCCATAATCAATGAGACATTGTTCTTCATGTTTGATGTGTATTGATGATTTTCATGATGGCACTTGACCTGTTGTAATGTCTGTTACTGGTTTTCACAATTGTTGACTATATGATGTGCATATGACGGGTTTTGCTTGTTTTTTTTTTTTTGTTCAATGTAAAGGATTTTGAACTACCATGTCGGTGAAATGTGGTATACAAATAAACTTGATTGCTTAATTTTCAATTCTAACCACATTTATCGATCAATTCAAAATGGAAATATGGAAGGATGGAAACAGTTCAGCCAGTCAACAGCCAAAGAGATCCGTATTTAGCAAATACAGCAAATACAATACAGGGTATTTAAAAGTATGTCACTATCATTAAGAAACAAATAAATTCAGTCTTCTTTTCATGCTAGTTTTTAAATCCTGGCATTCCCTTGATAGAAAATTCATTTTGATGTTTGTTCCTTTAATAATAGATTCACAAATCCTTGTCCACTTTGCTGCTGTTACACCTAAATTTCCCCATTGTGGGATAGTAAAATATATTTTTCTCTATTTATTTAAGTCAGATGCGTTGATAAACTCAACGCAAATGTATGTATTTAGAACAGTCCAGTCAAAGTCTAGATATAAATACAATTGAGACTGTGTCAAAACTTGGCACATAATTTTTTTTAGCTCATTTAAATGGGCTTGAATAGCCTTGTTAGTACAGATTTACTCCCAAAGGTTGGAGTCATAGTTGCACTAAAAGGCGATTCTACAATTCGAAAATAACATATTCTCTTTCTGCTTCACAATTAGGCACTAACTGC